GGACACCGTACCAACTGAAACATGAGGTGGCCTGGTGCAGCACATTCAGTTGCTTAAAAACAAGAGATTCAGCTGGGTTCCAGGTGAGTCTCTCGAAAAACCAAATTGGTTTGCAAATGAGTGTGTTTCGCTACTTTCGTGTAATCTGGGTTCAAGTAAAACATAAGGTTGACGGAAACCTGGGGAATGAGCCTCAGAAAGGGCGAACCCGTTTGTGGGCTGTCGAAGTTTTCAGCAATCTCATGAGTAGTGTATTACGTTTAAATAGAAGAAAGCATTTCAGTTCACTGAATTCTTCTCATCTGAACAACAGCGGCTGGTCACTCGCGAAATGTATTGGCTGTTTGGCGAAATCTCTTCACAAGTTGTCATCTGGTGCAGCTGATCTTGAGATTATGGCAGGTGTTCGGGGTCGTTAGATAACGGGAACATTCTGCTTCGTCAGAAAGGCCGGGATAGTCATCCAACTCATATTCCGTTGCAGTAGTATCACCTTCCCCTTTGTGAGCGACCATGCTGATGTATTCAAGGATGTCTGCAAGATGTAGCGACCCAGTCACCCACACACTTGACTCTTCAACTCAGCCGCTCACTGGATCGCAAGGCTTGTCTTTTTTCTCATACGCACAAACACGTCGCATTAAGCTGACTCATCGGACATCGATTGTCTGCACCGCCTAGTCAGCGTAGCGACCACCCATGTGCCGACGCGCCCACGTATACGCACTGGGACCTACATAAAGAGAAACCAAACCAAGTCAACACACAGACTCGCGCGCGAGCAGGGAGCAGGACGGCAACCTCTCCACAAGTGCACGGACAACCATGGAGTACGTGTAGCAGTCGAACTGCGGAGAAAAACACGTTCCCGCCGTCCGGACTTCCACCAAGGGACTCTCGCATCCGATAAGTTCCCTTTTTGACTTGCTCCCATCCTCGCACTGTATTTATCTTCATACGTGTCGCAACCATACAAAAACTTCTATTAGTGCACATTCACCTTCTGATTTGTATTATGGCTATCACTACCTGTGCACTAATAAAGGAAAACAACTGGAAAATCTCGGCACCGCTGGTAAGTCATGTCCATTAGTTCAAGTGATTTTCCCTCACAGGTGCTTTACTTGAATTCTATCCGCTATGGTTGTGGGCTGGCATTTCCGACAGTAAAGCTCTTGTGAGACAACTGTCAACTGGATGTGTTGTCGACAGCATTACGTTCCTCGCATTGGACAAACTGTATAATTCAAGGGGATGCACGGAAGCCGAGTGAAAAACTGCTCTCTCCGGTTGGAATGTTCGTCCTTGATGCATGACATTCAGGTCACAAGCTAATCCTGCGTCCAAAGACAACTAAATCCCGAGTTTATATCTTACAATAGCATCGTCCTTGTTGGATTGTCTCAATATTAGACAGCACGGTGCATCTCAGGATTACGAGTTTTTTTATGATGTCCAGTACTGGACATACTTTTACCTTAGAGATAAAACTGGCAACTCATATCTCGGATGTCGTCTTTATACGCGCGGCAAAGTTGCACATAACTGCGTATATTTGGATCTGTTCTTGTTTCTAGTGACATTCTAAAGGCTTTTCGAATCCAAACATTCTGCCGTCATCGGACGTGACAGTGACAAGCTATGCTTTGAGATTACCGAAACAATAGCAGTGCCAACACCAGGGAAAGTCTTTCCCTCCACTTCGCCTCCCATTGTACGAAACACATGTCCGAACCATCATAGTCTGTGCCGCCGAAGGAAAACAGAGGGTCGCATCGTCCAGCAGTAACGTCAGCAAACACTGTGGCTGGATGATTAGTCGTCTAAGAATGTCTAGAGTGTCTGAGGTCCTCGAAGTCATATAGGCCAGCTTTCACATCCGCTAGGTATGGCGGGACGAACGGCAGCTAGATTGAAAATTGATGTCTGCACCGTACCACAGAGTAAACAGTCAAACCGAACATTTGGTTTCAGATTAGATAAGTGGTGTACTCGCGTTTGCTGCTGACTCTTCCAGTGGACCAGTAGCAACCGGTGAGTGCTGCTCACGTTTATCTGGACCGTTCAAGGGTGGCATAGCTGTTTGCGGTACTATTCCTCATCCTACTTTTGTATGGCGCTTGCATGGGCTCTGGTTGAGTCCTGAGATTCAGGCAACCTATCCGTTCTCGCATGCGTATTCGTACCTGATGTCGCAAGACCCTGGGAATGGGAGATAAGCATTGTCAACTCCGCGAAGCAAACCCTCCCAAGGAAATTTATGTATCGATACCTTCGTCTGTCTATTTCGATTGGACCAAGTGGAAACTTAAACTATACTTTAATTCTGCTACACATGCTACTATGTGGCGCTGTCAGACAAACAACGATCATATAATTATTTTACATATTTGCATGTCCATTTATATATTTGTTTACTTGCTCACCCTTATGCCGAACCCACTCATTACCTGTTACTCTAAATAATTGTTTCTTTTTTTGCCTCGAAAATGCCGCTTAAAGGTACTGACAACTTTCCGTGGTCCTAGCCCCCTTATAGACTGCCTATTCAGATTGTCTAAACATCGGTACATTTACATCTAGTGATTCATTGCCCCTTTTCCTGTCTGTGTTGCAGCATCATTTACACAGAACTTAGTACAGTACTCGCTCATAGAACCAGTTGTCAATAATATATACTACCTTCTTTCGTCTGTTGCTACTGCCGAGCACAAGCCGACTGTCGATCGCTTCAATAATCCTTCAAGACCTTAGGCCAATCGGACGTTATATTCGACATTTAAAAAACTACTGAACAGATCGATGCGCACATGAGTGTATTCGTTGAAAATGGAGGACTTGTTTGATGGATGTGGTGATTCACTTGTCTCTTCGAAGTATATATATATATATATATATATATATATATATATACATATATATATATATATATCAAAGGAAACTTCGCCGTTTACTGGATGGGGATTCAGTGGTACAACACGTTTCGTGTACTAGCTAATTTTGTGAACAGATCGTTTCCGAAATGAGGTATTGGACGCTTCCTACCACACTGATTTGGATTCTCGACTTTATTCGGTTCCGCGTGATTTGCCGACCGACGATTACGTTTGTGGTAAATTACGACGCACTACTAGTAGGTGTGCGTAACCACTGCAGCTAAGTTCATCGGGGTCACAGTTTGGTTTGATTTATCAACCAACTCGGGACTAAACATGTTCTGAGACTCTTGATATAGGTAAACATTCTTCGACGGGGAGCATCACAGGGCATAGATGCAATAAACTTGGTCGTTCACAAGTTTAAGAACATCTGCTTCCGCACACCTAATCAGTAGAGAATTCAGAGCCTAAAAAGAAGCGACCATAAACCAAGGGACGAAACATTTGAGCTCGCCTGCGAAAAGGAATGAATTGCAGGCGACTCAGCCTTAAGTTACCAGCGTCGTTTGTGATCGATACTCAGAGAAAAAGATGTGTGAAGACTCGTACGGATGAGGCAGTCGGTTCTCCTGTGGAAATAGGCAGAAATTGGTCGGAGATTCCAAAATTGGTTTCATTGCCTAGTTAGACGGCAGGTACTTCCGTATTTCTAACCGCTTGGCTCGTGCTCTGATCATAAGTTCTTGTGTGTCAAACGGCTAATCTTCAATGAACTATCAGTGAGGTCTCGAAGTATGCACGCTGGTCGCCTATCCCGAAATTCCATGGTTCGGATAAAAGCGTTCAGGTGTAGCATTCTTTCGGTGCCTAGTTGCCATTTTACCCAGAGGAAGCACGAGGACTGGGATACTGCCGGGTTGCCCAGGCCTAGACAGGGGAAGTCGAGTTCGAACAACGGACCTTCCGGTCAGTGAATTCGAACTCTAACTACTGAGCCATCTTGTCCTACTGCGATCAAACTGCACAAAAAACTATCCCGGTTAGGGGAACGAGACAATGTACAACGACCTCGGTGGACTCAACTACTCATTTGCCGCTAAAAATAACCTAAGCAGCATAGATATATGCACTTCATGCGAAAGCTTGAAAGCAAGTTACCTTGACATCGATCAGCAACGTATAAACTGAGGAATCCCTAAATAAGGCAAGACGACCTAAGAGTGTCACCAGTTTTAAACCACTGTGCCACATAAAGTTGCTTCCCTTAGACCACTTGTTTAGTGTTCCTCAATCACACCAACGGATGGAGAACTGGCACAAGTATACCCGTATGTAAGCCCCTTGGGGTTCCACCAGACATTATCCTAATTTATTCTGTATTCCTGATCGGGGTGTCCGAAAAGTTCGTGCTTGGTATCGATCAGACCCCATTTTTCAGTTTTCGCAAACCAAAAAACGACCTACCGAAGCAGCTTCCCGAGGCACCTGCGGTACATAGCTGTCGAGTAACCTAAAGAAAGAACGAGGGCTGCGGTACAGACAGGCCGCTGAATATAAGACGGGAGGAATGTAAAACAGTGGCTGAAACCTGGTTCGCAGAGTTAGCTACAGCGCCGGACTTGTAGAACGGATAATTAGACGCAAATCAGCGAGTGATCGCTTAAATTTACTAACGAATGGCATCTTTTTATATAGGACCATGCTCTTGCAGTGACAACCTAGATAGCGTGCGAAGTTTCTAGCAGAGAAACGCAAAGTTCAAGTACACATTATATATATATATATATATCACGAGCTGTATATATGTAGTTCTCATGAAAATGAGTGGGTGCGATGAAAATACACATATCTGACAGTTTTAGAAGGCTAAGGTTCGACGGATGGTACTTCTGTTCGACGAGTAAGTCACTGTACTGCAATGGCCCGATTAATATCTTTATCGAGAAGAGCTGAGTACCGCGAAGATTCACCGCGACGCAGCGCAGAGCTGCCACAATTCTATAGAAACATCATACCCATGACCCAAGCCCAGGAACAAATTAAACCTCTCTCGTGAAGTTTATTAAAACCAACATGCCGACAATGATGAATCACTCAGCCGCAGCTGCAGTCGCATTACCAGGAGCATCTCCACCCTGCCTTTTCACTCCGGAAACGACGTCATCAATGCGCAACAAAAGGATCGCAGTCTACAAAGAAACCGTGAGCCAAAACTACTACTTACTTCGACTGCTGTTTTGAACGTTTGGGCTTTGACTACAAGAGGATCCCAAACGTTCAGTTGTTTCATATCAGCCAGTTGTCCCGTGGTTCCATCGACACCTAGAGTCCAATACCTGGCCGGATCAATCGCATGTCGTGCACGCAACTCCGTTATTAAACGCAGTACATTTGCACCACAATTCTTCGCCAAGGTTCGTGGAATCACTTCAAGGGCCTGGGCCATCGCCATATACGCCATTTGCTGCACACCGGAGACGGCCAACTTGGCTTTTTCAGCAAGCACCTGACCAAGTGCCATTTCAATGGCACCACCACCCGGCACCAGACGTTGTTCCAACATGACATTCCTAGCGACATTCATTGCATCTTGCAGATTGCGCTCCACTTCGTTGAGAACATCTTTACTGGCACCGCGCAACAAAATGGTACATGCCTTCGGATTCTAAGGAGGTTAGCAAACCCTCAAATAACTTACTTTACACTTGGTGATGAAGGTGAAGTACTCATCTCCAATTGTCTTAACCTCGAAAAGACCTGCTTGAGTACCAATGTCTTCTTCCTTAATCTCTTCAGTCCGACTAACTATTGTGGCTCCCGTTGCCCTAGCAACGCGGAAATTGTCAGTCTTTCGCAGTCGCCTTATAACAGATATCCCAGCTTTGGCTAGGAAATGTTGCGCCAGGTCACTGACACCTTTCTCTGTGATGACAACATCAGGCTTGTGTTTAATGATGCTGTCACACATCTCCTTGATGTTTGCTTCTTCGATTTCGAGAGCCCGCCTGGAAATATGCCAATAATTCAATGTGAACGGGAACGTACGTGAAATCCTTTTCGGCAGTGATTTCGATTGATGTTTGGCTTTCACCTTTTTTATACTCCAAATTACAATCCAGAAGTAAAATACGAGGATTCTCGATCCGGCGCGACATGCGGGGATGAACTACGTCTTTGTTAAACATAACGCCATCCATCACTACGGAATCCTCTATGGACCCTCCAGGGATCTAGCAGCAGTCAGAGGGAAAACAAATGCGTACCTTTTCAACTTTGGCGTATCGCTTTATATCGATTTCTTTGCGGCCATCAACCTCGATGCTAACAGTTTTTACGGCATCCAGTGCAATTTGACAAGCCAAGTCAGACCACTGATTGATAAATTTGGTTCCCACACAGCTCTTAATGATGGTGTACATTTCCTCCTTGTTGTTCGAGTCCACAGGAACACTGAAAATTTGACAGGCTGCAAACAAACCCTACCTCAAACGATCATGCAATGCGGATAACATGTCATCCAAACCTTTCCTAAATGCAGCAATTATTTTAGTTGGATGAATCTGTTTCTCCAAACAAGGTGCAGCCACAGCCAACATCTCTCCGCCTAGAAAGCGTTAAGCAAACAGTTGACGATTACCGAGTATAATGACCGAAGTTGTGCCGTCACCAACCTCTTCATCCTGAGTTCGTGCGATCTCTATCATTGACTTTGCAGCAGGATGTTCCACAGTTATCTAGGACAGATAGATACTTGTAGTTAGTGTGAGATAAGATCAGGTAAAAAAAACTTGGTCGAGTCTTCGAACAGGCCTACCAACATTTGTTATTCTGAATCCTTCACAGATGGAGTAAATCGGTGTTTGACTTCGGTTCAGCAACAAACGTACAAATAGCATGTAAACAGCACATACAAATACTGAACTTAGTTCAAGCTGACACAGACAGACATCACAAAAAACCGCAACCGTAGTTCACGCTTACAGATTTTCCCACCAATACTGATTTCGGCCAAAGTTCGTCGCCATACGCGTATCCTTTGTTGTTCGAAATAAATGTGACGACAGGCAGGATGGACAAATGACACATTCAAGGTATGGAGACACTTATCTAACCTCTCAAAACTGAGTGAGCAGGACGACAGGTAGCATTTTTATCAAATTTGCGCATTTCTGGCTACATCGGGCGTACAGTTAACAAAAAACAAAAAAAAACAGGATAACCGTCCAAGTCAAACGCATTTATTGGTATCCGAAACATCCGAAGGCCAGTCTCAGTAGCTTGAGTCTATCACATCAACCGATTTAGGCGCATTTAACCGGCCTTTGTGGCATTAAATTCAATGAGTTTACCACCGGAACAATTTGCAAAGATCATTACCACCTACTTGATTTTTGGATTCGGGGTCAAGGATATGGACCTCCTTAAGGAGCCAAACCAGATTGGGCTGATTACTACTGAGTCATGAGGTAAGTTGATACGGGCATATGAAAAACAGATCACATCCCAAGCATTGCCCGGAAGTCGCTGTTTGGAAGTGGACTGAAGTCCGGTCATCTGTCTGACCCTTCTTATCCGTGATCCTCCGCGCCTACATTTTTCTACTCCTTTCCCCTCTATGGTTCTGTTTCTCTTAGACTTTTCAATTTAGCACACCGGCAGCCATCAGGTTTCGTTTCTTGTTTCAATTGCCGTTTACCTCTTCCCTACCCAACATTCACACTTCTTTACCCAGGTGCGTTCAATGAACCTGATCAAAGCGTCTACACGACATATCCTTGCTGTTGTTACCATGTTTCGCAGTTGTCAATCCCTACATTTATATACATATATACAAAGAACTTTTTCGGTTTACATGTTTCCTGTATCTGATTTGCCACCCACTAACCATGAGTATGGTGGTCTTTATCCAGGGAAGGGGTCTCTACCCACAAAAAACCAAGACGATTACTCTCCGCTTCAATTATTATCCTTTGCCTCAGATCACGGTACACACGCAACTTTTGCCTTACGTTTCTGCCAGTAATATGTGCTTGGATCGGTGAAATTCAAGTTTTCCCGGCTAGGTGGGGACGGAGCACCGTAAAAACTCATCTACGACGAAGGGTAAACTGATTCAGCTTTGCAATCGAGAATAATGTTTTCAGTGTTCCTTTATATCACCCCCCCACCTATTTTATGGCAGTTGAACGTTAGTAAAACTCGGAAAATAAAGATTTCATACCGTCAGTGCTAAGAGGCCGCAGAGCACTGTCTTGCGTCTGTTCCATCATTTTTGGGGATTATCGGCAGTGACCATATCACGAAACACGCAGAAAGTTTCGAACCCGTAACCTATCTGATAGCGGTTGAACACTTAAGCGTTTGGCCAGGAGTGGCTAAGCACTAGCGTGATTAGCTCTCACTTCGACAGAACGTGGAAAAGAAGGATGAGACCATATATATTGTTATCTATTGTTAATCTTCATTCACCACTCCGGTTTGATAACCACCTTATGTGCGAGTATTTCGTATAACTCCTTTGGTACTAAATGACCGATAAAATGGGAACCATGTTCGTAAATGCGTTACATGGTTGCTACATCAGATGATGGATTTTACAGACAGACTAAAGGTCAACGTAACATTACGTCATCTGCTGTCTGGAGGGACAAAGGTTTGTTTCTGCTGACTGGACCTTACCGTGGTGTGGCGTTTTGTGTACCTCGGCGGCCCATTGAGCTATACTGGGGGTGTCAGCGCGACACTCACAGAATCTCATACCAGGTTGGTCCATGGGCAGAGGTGTGACGAACACAGACTCCTGGCCATCCAGGTTAGGGGTTGTAACATTTATGGCGCCCTGTTCCGTAAAAATGGTGATGTACTTGCATTTCCAGCCCAACAAGGCTGCCTTGAGGTTAGGCTTTTGAGCCAAAGGCTTTGGTTGAGAAAATTAATCGTCCTCCTGTCTAGGTGTGAGCACCTTGGCAGTACCCAGGCCCTTACAACTATGACATTTAGAGAAAATTAATCGTCCTTGCCATATCGGCCGTCGTGTGTCATCAGCCAGGTCGCCTTACTTGCTGCATACAGCAGGTCGGGTAAGCGAAAACATGCTACTGCTGATGTCTCCCTTCTTACACTTTCACGTTTTCCTTCTTCCACCATCCCCGCTCAAATCTGAATATTTTCTCCGCATGTCCCAGCTCTAGGACTGACCGTTTCGCTCGCCCTGTATTACACTCAGCTAGCAGCTTTTGTGCGTCCGAGTTCAGCCACAACCCTAAATACTTCGAAGTTTGTTTCCAAACCCCGAAAACCTGTCTACTTAGCCACCTTCAGTGTTCGCACACTGAAGCAAGCACGTCAACAGGTGGCCCTTGCGCGTACGCTGGATTCCCTCTGTATTGATGCATGTTGTCTGTCAGAAACAAAGACGCAGGACGCAAGTACTTGACCGAAGTGACTGAACCCTCGCTCTCTTCTAGGTTCCGGCTGCACACTTTCGATGATGCAGAGGCCGCTACAGCTGGATATGCTGGGGTGGGTATTGTATTGAGCGAACAAGCGGAAGCGTCTCTGTTCGACTGAATACCCGTTGATAGTCGCCTCTGTGCGGTTCATTCGGCAACATCTATGAGAAAACCTAGAGGAAGTGAGGTCCATCACACCTTGTTTATTGTGTGTGCTTACGCCCCAACTAACTGCAGCTCTGAATCTGCCAAAACAGTTTCTATGACACTCTAGATGCCCTTCTACAACAGGCTAAAAGCCCAGATAGCACTGTGGTTGTTGATGAGTAGGTAGACAGCGCTGCTGATGCCCGAGTGGGTGGTCGACTTGGGTTGGACACGAGACGCACGGAAAACGGAGAACGCTTACTTCAGATGTGTGCCGATCACAGACTGTTCCTTTGTAGTACGAATTTCCAAAACAGCGAAAACCGCTTGACAACGTGGTGCCCACCAACAAACCAGCGCCGAATCCAAATAGACCACATCGCCGTCAGCTATCGGTGGCGAAGGTTGATCACCACCTGCCACTCCTTCTGGAACACCAGCGTGGACTCTGACCGTGAACTTGTACGCTCTGCCTTTAACTGCGCTTTTCAAACGTACGCAAAACGCACACACCCCACTTAGTCATTGAGAAGCTAATGGACCTAGAAATCAAACGAAACTATCAGAACCAGCTCCTCGAACACCTGTCGGAGGGAACGGTGCCGCATATAAACGGCCACTAGGAAGAAGTACCCAAAGCAATACTCAAAGCCGAGATGTCTGTTTACGGTACAACCCAGCCAAACTCGTCCAAACGTTGGATCTATGGTAGGACCGTGTCTTTTCTGGAGACCCGGCGACAGATTCCTCCTGACCGTCACCACGACTCCACCCGGCGTACCATCCGACGCCAGGTGAATCTGAGTGTCCGCGCAGGCCGAGAAGCTTGGTGGACCCGAAAGGCCGAAGAAACGGAAGATGCGAAGAATGCTGGAAACGTTCGCAAGCTGCTCCACTTGATTCGTTCGACTGGTCCTCGGAAACCTCTTGTCAGCGGAATAACCAGACCGAAATGGCTCCCTGATCTGCAGCAAAGCAGAACGTTTGGACCGCTGGGAACAGTACTTTGAACAGCAACTCAGGTGCTACCTCCAATCCAGAATCCTGGCCTTCAACATAAAGGTGGACCGTGAATATGGAGCCGCCTTCAGTCTCAGAAGTGTCCGAATGCATTTCTCTACTCAAGCGTTATCGTGCTGCTGGTCCTGACGACCTTCCACCTGCCCTTTTCAAGGATGGCGGTCGGTTCCTCAGCTAGTGCCTGTCTAGCCTGTTTGGGTGTATTTGGAAGGAGACCGTACAGACAACTGGGGTGAATCGATAGTAGTGCCCATTTTCAAAAAAGGGTACTTGCAGTGAATGTAGTAATCACCGAGGTGTTAGTTTGACTCCCGTTGTGACCAGGCTTTTGGCGTCACTGATTCTTCGATGTCTTACGGTGGCACGCGAACCCTTCACTAGTGAGAATCAAGCGGGATTTCGACCGGGTAGATGCTGCGTTGACCACATATTCACACTCCGTCAGGTGTTGGAGCAACGCCACATGTACGACCCACCCACAATCTTGGTATTCCTTGACTTCAAGGGTGCGTTCGGATCTGTCGATCGATCGGTGCTGTTAACTACACTTGCTCAGCAGGGTATGTCCCAGAAGTTTGTAAACATAATCCGATCCCTGTATTAACATCTGGGCGGGTAAGTGTATGGTGGGCTCTTCAACAAAGTGGTCAGACAAGAATTTCCACTCTCTCCATTCTTGTCCAACTTCATCATTGATGAAATAATGAAGTGAACGCTGGACGGTCTTCAAAATTCTGGTGTTCTAATTGTTTCTGGTGAGAGCCTTGTGCGCAGATGACATCGCATTCATCTTTGAAGACCAAAGCGAAGCACAACTCTGTTGGAATAAACTGACCGCCATCATACCATCATACCATATGCGCCTTGCACCTTAAAATGCAAAGTCCTACTTCAGAACGTGCCATCAGTGTCAACACTGATGCTGCTGTTTTTGACGATGATGATTGACGCCGAGAGATTTCCTTAGATGACAATCAAACTAATCTTGTGGGGCTTCTGAGTACGTGCTACAGAACCCACTGAGGGAGTTAGGCGACAAAAATTACCATTAGGATGGCAGTCAGGCGACCAATACTCCAGCGGTTCGATGCCAGAAGAGTGACTTCTGTACCTGT